TACTTAATGGCACTTCCTTTGTGTCACATTCACATGCAATTCACCACAACACTTCTCACTTTTCCTAATACTCTTGTCTCCTCTCTGTCTCTCTCTCTTTCATTACAGATGCTCTCATTAGCTCTTGTTGTTCACAGAGACTCGTGGCAGGTAATGATGATATTCATTATTATTTTACGTAGCTACATGTACATGTACATGTATGTTGTACAATGTAGATAGTTTGGAGTGCTTAATTTGGGTGAATTGCTGTGTGCCCATTGATCTCTTATTTAATCATAAAATCTCTCTTTTCTCTCTCTTCCTTTCCTCCATAAAGGAATGACACACGAGTGATATGCATTGTGTTGGATTTGGTGACTGTTATGTTGGAGTGTGGCGTGAAGAGACTTGGGGACATTAAATCACTGAGAGTTCTCATGCAAGACGGACTCTGCCATCACTTACTTACTGTAAATGAGCAACTTTACGAAGTACGTATTTCAGTTTGTGTTAAATTGTATTTTATTAGTTGCTTCAGAACGAATCTGTTGATGTTTTTGGTCTCTCTTTGACAAAGTGCTTTCTTCTTTTTGATTCAAATTGTCATCATCTCAAACTACAGCTGGAGGTAAAGAAAGAAACACATACATGTATGTGGATCATTAAATACTTCTCTCTCTCTCTCTCTCTCTCTCCCTCTCCCTCTCTCAGTAGTTCCTTAATAAGCTAATGCGCACAATACAATTAGATCAGTCAAGACTTCAAGCAGGAAGACAAGAGCTAACATTAGAATGTCTCAATTCAAGTAAGAAAGAGTACATTTATGTACACGAGATTCGTGACAGTTTAATAAATATTTATGTCTCTCTTTTCTTTAGTTTTGTCACATTCATAATTTTGTATCAGAGTTATATGTTAATTATGATTGCAGTACCTACTGTACTAACGTGTGCGAGAGACTGAGCAAACTACTTGCTAAGGTATGTCAGCCATCAGCTGTTATTAAGCTTAGCCAATTACCCTGTACTATTGTATGGGGTATTTTGCTAAATATTATTACAGCGAGCATTCCCCAGCTCTTATCACACGATATCATCAACCAACATAATTAGCAATGGAAACACTACTGGCAATGATACTGGCATTAGAATCAACCAACACCACCACTACTGATAGTGATGATACCAATGATGGTGATACTAATAGAATGTGTACTAAGATTAATGGAGGGAAAGTTGCAGGTGACTGTAATAAAGGAGTAAGTGTGAATTCATCTGCTGGGATCATATTCTCATCAGATAAGCAGCAGCAACCAGATATCAGTCTGAATGGAGC